GAAGTCCAGGAGGGGCCCGACGGCTTAGGCTTCGGAATGGCGCCCTGACCATCTGGGTGCGGGGCTTGGAGCGTCTGGCCCCGTTACCCGTTTTTATTCCCCCCAACACCTTCCATTCCAGCTTTCAACTTTTTGTCTCGGCAGTCATGGATGGATTACCCGGCCCTGGGCCTTTTGCTCCTCCTGGATTTCCCTACGGACTCCCTTTGGACTTGTCTGCCTTGACCACGCCCCCCCCCCCGAGCACCAGCCCACCTGTCGACAACCAGCCCCGCTCCTAGTCTTCTTCCCCCACTCCCTCCCGGATTCTACAGTCTGCATAGGGTCCAGAAAAACGCTTCGTGACACATGGCAGCCATCATGTGCCAGATGTCCCACTGCACAGTGATGGAGAAGTGAAATATGTCTTCAACTGAATTAAGTGGGACATTCAGGTAGTTAGACATGACATGGGAAATGTAATGACAAATAAGTCAGTATTCCCCGTCACCATACTGCGATGTTAGATTGGAAATTTACTAGTTCACCAGCACCACCCACAACCCACTTTTCTATAGAGGTCAATGAGGCCCTGCCTTGCTTAGATACAGAGATCTAAAAATATCAAGGTATGAGCTGTTAACACTCTTATCTCTGTAAAGATTCTGTGAGGTTTGTGTTCATATTCATCTTTAGATGTTTTTCCTATTCCATACTCTGGTACAATACTTTTAACAGTACAATTTCCTAAACTGTGTGCAATATATAGCTATTATTGGAAAATGAGTGTCGTGCTTACAACTGACTTGAGTTGGAAAAGTTGTCGTCTAAACGTAGGTGTACTTCAAAATAGCTGAATTCTACACTAGGAAAACAGAAGGCAAGAAAAACGTCTCTGTTCACATACACAAAAGCAGCTGAATCTCCTGCTATTCACCACAAAATTCACTACACTTACTGTACATGACCTTGATCTCTGTGTAGTGGAAAGTATTATCATTATACAGCAATAATTAGTATTATCATGTATTTGTTATGCAAGGCTAAAGTAATTTGATGTATAAAAAACTACATGAATCATGAGTTCTAGTCAGAGGTTTGCAAATAAAACATGAACCCTTTAATAATTTTAAGAAATCCTACCATGTTCTTTTTTACAACCAGAACACAAACCGATTTCATTCTAACTAGACTTTTCCCTACATACTGTAGCCTCCACTCTTGTTCAACATACTGTACATTTCCAAAATAACTTGCTGCATTTCAAGTTCAAATAGTTCTTTAATACGATAAGGTGTCTGACAAAACTCTGTAAAATGGCAGGCCGCAAATAACATGTCTTTGTTATTACTATTAATTTTATGCGGACAGAATGTTCCATTCAAAATGGTTTGCATTTGTCTTATACCCATTTATACAGCTGGAGAGTTCACTGGGGTAATCTGAGTGAAATATCTTGCTCAAGGGTGCAAAACCAGTAAGCGGTTCTGAGCCTCAACCACTACTCAACTGTCGCCACTCATCTGTCAATCTGTCTGCGACTGGATCTCAGCCCTCTGACTCATGCAGGTCATGGAAGGATAGACTTCATTAAACTAACATCCTGCAGATGTCAAAGGGTTTATTGCAGGATATTATCTGGGCCACATGCCGTTGTGCAAAAGCTCCAGAGGTTGACATTTCCATATTTAACTCAATTATCCATAATGGAACTTCTGATTATGATAATGGTAACTTGAACTCAATAATAAATCAGCTGAGGTTATCTCATACATGATGTATAATGATATACAGCATAAGGTTTCTTGAAAAAGGGTTACTAAGGCCAGAAAGCAAAACTTTGCAACATATTTAAAAGACTGAAAAGCATCACCGTGTATCAGTTGCACAGATCTCCAGAGGCATCTTTTGTGGTTCGATACATGGGTAAAAAAACAAACGGACCTTAAGACTGTGCAAAGCAGAATTACTGATCCCAAAGTTTAAGCTTTTAAGCATTTACAATGCCTTTGATTTTATGGAGACAAAGATACACAGAGAATTAAGTCAAATAAATTAAGAAGATGGATCACAGTGCTTTAACAGACTGGACTAACAATGGGCTTTGTTTTTATATGCTGCAGTTATAACTAGCTACAGCTCATATTGTGTGGTAATTATTCCTGACATTGATGCATAATTTCAATTTCAACAGCAAGTAAACACACAAGTACAGAATTTCAAATAATACCACAGAACACAGAACATCTCCTTCCATTTGAAACTGTTTCTTATTCAACACACAACTGTCAAATGTAAAGACTGAAGTGTCACTTCTGTTAGAGCAAAAGTCATCAACACATTTTGTTTTTTTCTATCTCGCTAATTCAAATCACATGCACTTGTCATTTAAGACTAACTTTATTTAATGCTGGTAAACTAAATCTCCAGTAAATTTTTAACTGTTCACTAAATGAATCATGTTTTTTTTAACAGCAAAACTTTAACAATTTTAACCACTTTAACCAGCGACTTTAACCATCAGAGAAGTCTCGTGAAAGTCACTTGATGAACTTGTAATAGTTATATACACATTTCACACCATCAGCAAGTTATGTGTGGCTTCAAGTTGAATTTCTAAGCTGTTGAGCATTATTATGTCTTAAAAGGTTAATGAATACAGGCTACTGTTCCTTATTTGTGAAACAGATTTGTAAATTGTTTTCTTTCTGTTGGGAAGGTCAATATCACCAAATAAATTATGTCTTGATTTCAACTTACTCAGTTTCCTCAAACTTCAAAACTTGTGAAAACGTGTACTGTAAGTTTCCTCACCCTATGAATGACCATTTACAGTTGTATGCAGCAGTACACCTTTGGTTTAGCTATTTTTATTTTATATTTTATTACTATAGCAGACAACAGGCCAAATCCTATATATCACTGAAACAATACCACAGAATGGGCTGTCCAAGGACACATTATTATAAAACACTTGCTCACTCATAGGCACAGGAGGTACTTTATCAACTGTGCTAAAGCATTTTAACAAATCTACTGTCACCTTTCCTGTGTCTTAGGCAATCATCCTACTTCTGGAAAAAAAAATGAAGTGAGATGAGAACTGTTCACTTGTTGATGGAGACTTAGCAATCCTGTAATTTATCACTGCTTCTATTTCCAAGCGCCATCTGTTACATTATAAGGAACGTCAATACCAATTACTGTCAACTCAGGCTGTAACATCAACTGAAGCTGAAGTATGACTGACACTGTGCAAGGAATTTCTATATGTTTTTGGAGCCAGAAAAAACATTCATTTGCCAGCATTTATCGACTGAAGTCAATAAGTTCTACTCTACCTCGAAAAACAAAATTGATCTATTAGCTGAAGGAACCAAGAAAAAAAAAAACATGACTTCCATAATGGGCAAAAATCGAATGGTTTTCACTGTTCCTCATTCTTGTCAGTCACTAAGACATACATGTTAATGGCTAATATCTGTCGGTAAAGTGAAACATTATCTTACTTTTTCTACAAACACGGACACAGTCCTTGCCACCTGACACTTTTTTTTACTTCATTTAGAAATTGGTTCAGTACTTCACTATCACAACTGCAACCACATTAACTACTGCAAGTCACCCATATGCTACTCACTGATCTGCAGCTCACAACAGACATAGGCTGCTGGCCTATCAATATCATAGAACTATAAATATATATACAAACATAAATATCCAAGAACTAAAACTTCTACATGGATTTCAGTGCAGGATGGCTCAGCAACGCCCAATTGTACTAAAGCCAACCCTAACTCAGTAACCCAGAGTGACTGGCATGCCAGGTTCACCGAGATCACACTAGAGGGGCTCTAGAGGAAGCACCGTACCTTGTACTCATCCATCCACACGTGAGCTAGCCTCAGAGAGTTATGTGCCATGGTGTCCTGTCCTCCTGGCGATCCGTAGGGACGTCTTTTACGGAATATATGTCCGACTCGGGAGCAAGGGATTATTAAAAGCCTGCCTCCACACATCCAGATCTGTGGAAGCCGAAAACAATGTCTTCATGTTAATCAAGGCCTGGTCTTTTTGTTGCATCTTGGACTGAAAAACTGCAAGCAGACAAAATACACACGCCTCCATAAGACTTTTTTGTGCTGGTAATTTTATTTAGGATTTCCCATATCTGACCCAACCCTGCAGCACCACTAAGGCTAATTTCTCGAGAAATATCTCATAACATCCAAACGCAGCCTAGTTTTCTAACTTTCCACCAATTTTAATTGAACATGTGAGTTTCTGTAATGAGTCAAGAAAGTTAAGGTCAAGTCAGGATATTTGGAAAATGTCTCCACAAACGTTTTGCAAAAATACTGGGTGGGTATTTTTTTTTCTCCGTCCTGCAGATTAGTTTCAGTTCCCACACAGTCCTGTGTAAAAATTCCCAACGACTTATTGACATCACCTGGCCGTATCAGTTGTGCTAATCTGTTTGCAAATAATGTCCAACTTGTATTTCTATGGAAAAATGAAATAACTGCACTAGGATGTGTAATGTTAACAATCCTAACTTGTGAAACTGCAAATTCATTTAATAATTATTCTTATTTGTATAATTATCTGCAGTAGAGATAGCAGCACAGACAGTGACAATAGCACCAGGCAACATGTAGCACTTTCTCGCAAGTTATTAACATGCAGCATCACTGCAGTAGTAAAAAATAGTGAAATTGCACCTTTTCAAGAATGTGATCACCATTGATTATTAAACCAACACAATCTAACAACCCTTCTTCCTCAAACATCACCTACCTTAAAATCAACAATGACAAGGTAGCAACACAGACCAAGCTTAAAGAGGTTGTTTTCTGAAAGCACAGTGAAATTACTTTCATTGACTGCACACAGTTACTTGACAGCTCATCCAGCATGCAATCTCAATCACTGTGGCTTGAATTCCTTGTAATACAAAAGTCAAAAGGCTCATGGATTTAGTTCTGCTACTGGTTGTTTGGTAAGAGCACATAAGGAACTGTCTGGTATACCTGTGGAGGCAGGCAAGAAGAGGTAATTTTGCCTGCAGGGAGCACTGTGGATTTCTTCACCACCTACATTTCAGAGAGAGCTGCCAGCTTCAGATCACAGTAATGGGACAGGGAAATAGTTTTTAATCCAGCAGCTATATTTATAAATGACATCTTGGCTCACTACATTACAAATAGTAGTATTAGCAGTAATAGTAATAATGGTTTATACAGATCTTGAACTTTTTTCTTGCGTTTCAGGCTCCTGGATAATATCTTTACAAGAAAGACTTCTTGAAATTGATCGCAGCAATATTTTTACCGTTACTTTTGCATTACAATCTGCTATATTGTACGTGTATGCAGAACACAACCTGATGCATAAACGGGTACACTGAGGTTTTGATGAGCAGCTCAGTGTTTCTCACTGATGTTTTCTGCTTTCTCAGTAACAATAGCAGGTTTCTTGGTAACAAAGAAATGCAAAAGAAAATCTACCACAACCCAACACTCATTATCCCTAGAAATGGAGCCAAAAATGAAATCAGAAACTGTAAAAAACAGATTATTGAGTTGAATCCCTGAAGTAAGTCAGGCTATGAATAGGCGTCTTACATTTTTCCAGGGAAGGTTCTGTCTTAATTGTCACGTACGGTCTGTGGTATTAAAATCCTAAAAATAATCTTTGTCAAACATTTCTTAGAGTGATCAGAGTTTGATGAAAATGGTACTGTAATTCACATCACACATGGTAAAGTAAAATATATTTTAGAGTAAGAGAGAGTTGATGTCAAACAGACAATTTAGACCACATTTGTCATTTCTTTTATGGTCTGCAGAGAAAAAAAAACAAATTTAAGACGGGAACTTCAGACTTCAACATCAAGAAATACCGTGCAAATGACTGTGTAATTTAACAACTCTCTGTCTGGAAACAGTCACTTTCATAATAAGATAATCTGAATAGCAGAAGTTGGAAAAATAATCTTAGAGCACGTCTTTTAATTTTGAATTGGAAATTACTTTTAGTTTGTTTAACCACCCAATGCAGAATCCCCAACTGTGCCTTTATGTCTCGCCTCTCTGCAATGATCCCCATACAATACACTGGCAGAAAAGGGAAATGTAGATAGCCTCTTCCGATCTGCACGCCATTCATCTTTTAACTTTGACAATACAAACTCTGCAGCAGCTTATAGTTACTGTAAGATACACAGCTGTTGCAGTTTGTTCCTGTTCCAGCAGTGAGAGGAGGAGCGGTGTGTCTTTCACTGCAATCTAACTTTCAGGGTCACAAGGATAGCCATCGCACTACGAATGGAGACAAATGTGCCCTACTGCAGGGGAGTGCTATTCACAGTCAGTGACATTACTGAGGCTTTAAGCCAACGAGTTTGGATCACTGACCTCAGCCAGAGTTCAAAGTGAGTTTTATCATTTGAGCCACCCAGGGGCCACCCCCCTTATGACACCCGTCACCACAGCACCGTCAGTCCCGCCCACTGGAGCTTTCATTTTTACCCACGGACGGACAAGTGGTCATTTTAATGCTGAATGTGTTACTGCACATGAAATATTGACTGAGAGCATTGACACGGTTGGAAAGTCTCCCTTACCCTGAAAGAAATCTCCAGGTTCTCTCCTCCCCAGATATCCATGCCGCTGTCATACTGGCCCAGCTCGTTAAAGTACTTCCTTTCCATGGCAAAAAGGCCTCCTGCCATCGTTGGAGACCTGAAAACCCACCATACTATACAATTAGTCAGACCATAAGAATATATGAAGCATTACAAATGGTAACATTTGGCCCTCCCAGCTTATTTGATGGCTGGTAGCTATGTTGTCCAAGAATCTCATCCACATGGTTCTTGAATGAAATCAGGGTATGGGCTTTGACAATACCTATTCCAGCTTATTCCAGTCTCACACAACATCTTGCGCAAAAAGAGCCACCTGTTCTCTGATTTCTATTTCCATGTTGTTCTCAGATTTTTGTCACACAGCTCGTTCGGAAAGGTCTAAAGCAAAACATAGTCAATTAGCTTTTGAGGACTGTGAATAATTGAATTGGGTAGTCCTCTCTATCATGGACTAAAAATGTTCAGTTCTTTTATCCCGTCAAATTCCTTAAAGCCTAGGAATGTATCTGTCTGTTCTTCTCTGGACTTATTCAGATAAGCAATATCCATTTTGTAGCATGGTTACCAAAATTATACACAATCTTTTAAATGATTTGTATGATATTAACATCCTTTGATTTATATTCTACACTTCTAACTATACAAACGTTAGCTTATTGTTTACCACCTTAGATTTAGAGTTTGCTTTTGCTACCTGCACGCAAGACTTTCGAGCAGTGAGATTTAACATTATTGCGAAAATGGGGACTATTACCATCCAAACTGTGCTTTTTGAATTCAAAATATTTAGAAAGGCAGACATCCCTCGAATTGGCTCAGGTTAAAAGGAAAACTAATTATGGGAGTCACGAATGAAGAAAGCATGGAAATCTAATATTGAAAAGCACTTTAAAAATTAAGACTATAATATATTGCTTTTTCGCCGTCTTGCAGCTGCTTGTCTAAACAAATTCCAACTGGAGCACTTGCAGAAAGTTATTCGCTCTCCAGGGTGGAATGAAGCGTTATTAGAAGACAGGCAGCAGAAAATGAATCAGCCTGAACCACAGAATAGCTCATTTCACCCCCAACAGAAAACGAACTAGGTTGTAATGAGAGGATAATCCTCCAGGGATCGGTGCTGGAGGTTTAATCACTGCGTGACACCCGCAAGTTATTTTTATATCTCAGATCGATTCACTTGATCAACGGCATGAACAGCAGCCGAGACAAGACGCACATGGAGTATAAACCGGGCTGTTTGTTTTGATGGTTCTAGTGGGAGAAGTGTGTGTGTTTGTGGGAAGGAATCTCAGGTTGTCCGGGACCCCCACCGTTCTCACACATACCGGATAGGGGCAACGGGTCCCTCGGGGCTGTTCATCTCCGAGAGGGGCACCGGGTCCCATTTGAAGTGTAGGCCCCAGTTGAACCCCCCCCTCACGATGGGGGAGGAGCTGTAGACCAGCGTGTCTGCACTGATGATGTCGATCACAGGACACACCACCGTCCGGCGGTCCTCTTTGATGGGAGACAGCAGGGGCTGCAGCCAGAGCTCGTTCACCTCACAGTGGCTGTCCAGGAACACCAGGACTTCTCCTGCCGGCAACAATATCCGAGTCGCCATGGGCAGAAAGTGAAGGTTAACCGTTGTCCACATCCGGCAAAACACCCTTCTTATCTGCATCTTGTACAACCTCACTGTGCAAAAATCTACTGCTCTTGTCTTGCACACAAACAGTAAGATATTCAGGTATTTTTCAGAGAAGTTAAATTAAAAAGGTCACCATCACAATGGCTACAATGTTGTTGCTGCACAACCTGGATAAGAAAAGACTGGTTATTAAATCTTGGTAACAAAAATAATTCATTGACGTTATAGAACAATTTTATGAATTTCGAATTAAGCACAAAATTGTGAACTTTGTGAAAGTACTGCGAGTCGCCATGTTGTTGCAAGCCCCTGTTTGCGCAAATTGTGACGTGATGATGCAGCCCTTCCTGGTCACTAGTCACTGTGATGACTATTGTCATGTGATGTACGAACTATTAGTACACGTTGTGCAGCAGACATTTCACCACAGAAAGTTTCCAACACAATCTACAAGCAGAGTTAACAGGTGATTAGTATTTGTCGGCAAAACCATCTCGAAATAAAGAGCAATATTTCTATGAGATTAAAAGAGATGTATTCACAAGCGTGGTTGTTTACAATGTAATAGGGCTGCTTTACGTTACTGGACGTTTTGTTGCCTCGTTCTGAATCGCAGAATATAGCAAGGGTGACACCTGGAAAGTTTGTGACATAAATTGGAGGTTTTACAAGTTACTGCGTACGTTTTATTTTTTTTTGCAGTGTTGAAATGAACTCATCAGTGCCCATTCCTCCTAGGCCCTAAATATAAAAATAGCCTTGCGGTTCCCCTTGAACCACTCTCACCTGTTGCGTGAGAAGCCCCGATCATCCTCCCCCTGATCAGGCCTTCCCGTTTCTCATTGCGGACCACCTTCACTTTCCCGCGCAGGTTCTTCAGGATGTAGGCGTCGAGATCCTCCTTCAGGTCAGCTGGATCGAATCAAACACAGTTCTGGTTAAGAGGAACTTCAAAGCTCCTCACTCCCGGGTACAGGGCTTATTTCACATTCTGGAAAAACACTGCTCACCGCACTTCCTCTGTTCCTCCGTCAGCCAGAGGAGGTCTGTCCATATAACTGATATGAATTCACAAATTTATTAGGGAGCAAAAGTTTGTGTAGTTGGCACACATTTTATTGAACGCGTGTAACAGGTGTATTCATTGTGCTGATTAATAGCACAATATATAATGTGAGTACTAATGTAGTAGTGGGAGTGGCCACTGTTGGACGTAAAATGCTCTACATCTGACACATGCTTTGTGCCAGGTTGCAGATGCTGTCTAGCAGTTTTCTCCTCCTTTCCTGTCGTAGAGCCTGAACAAGCATGCATCTGTTCCCTGGTCTCTGAGCCCTATGTGCCACACCACATAGCTCATCTGGCAAGTGTCCAATGGGACTCATATCTCGTGAGTAGGCATACACAGCACAACTGGCACAACTTTGTCTCCCAGTAAGGCCTGTGTTACACCAGCAGCACGAGGGAGTGCAGTGTCCTGCTTGGACTGTTGTCAAGTCAGGACACGGCTGCAGGGAGGGCAGTCAATGATGTCCCAAGACTTGGACAGTGCAGTGCAGAGGAGTCAGCCTGCTCAGTGGAGCTCTGTAGCAGCCAGACACTCCTCCCCAGGTCACCCCACTTGGACCTCAGTATTGATCTCGCTGCTCGAGCATGTACTGTCTGGCCAGGTTAAAGTTGTCCACTGAGAATATCCCAGAAGGCAGGTGAGAATGATCAGGCTTACTACAGCTTTCAACATACCATGGGTGCAAAGGTGTTGCTTCTTAATAAACAGGCTATACAGACTCTTTTCTCTGTTTCACATCTAACAGCTGAAATCACCTCACTACCTGAGCCCACTCCACTTTCACTAATGAGGTGATTTAGGGCTTATGCAACAAAGTCACTTGAGTCGAGAATCATCAATGAATCAAAATGATGCCCATAACATTTTTGTTATTTACCAAACGTTTTACACTGTATTGTTTTCAATATACACATAAAATGTTGTTTGTATTGGTGCTTTTATAAGAAACCCAGCTTGACCATGGCCGCTTTTACAAGGACGTGCTTTGCAAAGGAAGCAGGAATTTCACAACTTTAAAAGCACCACAGAAAAAACAAGAGCAAATTCACTTTAATATAGTGGTGTGAAAAGGTGTTTGCCCCCTTCCTGATTTCATATTTTTTTGCATGTTTGTCACACTGAAATGTTTCAGATCATCAAACAAATTGAAATATTAGACAAAGATCACACAAGTAAACACAAAATGCAGTTTTTAAATGAAGGTTTTTATTATTAAGGGGAAAAAAAATCCAAACCTACAGTACATGGCCCTGTGTGAAAAAGTTATTGCCCCCTAAACCTAATAACTGGTTGGGCCACCCTTAGCAGCAACAACTGCAATCAAGCGTTTGCGATAACTGGCGATGAGTCTTTTACAGCCCTGTGGAGGAATTTTGGCCCACTCATCTTTGTGGAATTGTTGTAATTCAGCCTTACCGCTTACCCGCTTTTTAAGTGTCATGCCACAACATCTCAATCGGATTCAGGTCAGGACTTTGACTAGGCCACTCCAAAGTCTTCATTTTGTTTTTCTTAAGCCATTCAGAGGTGGACTTGCTGGTGTGTTTTGGATCATTGTCCTGCTGCAGAACCCAAGTGCGCTTCAGCTTGAGGTCACAAACAGATGGCCAGACATTCTCCTTCAGGATTTTTTGGTAGACAGCAGAATTCATGGTTCCATTTACCACAGCAAGTCTTCCAGTTCCTGAAGCAGCAAAACAGCCCCAGACCATCACACTACCGCCACCATATTTAATGTTGGTATGATGTTCCTGTTCTGAAATGCTGTGTTACTTTTATGTCAGATGTAATGGGACACACACCTTCCAAAAAGTTCAACTTTTGTCTCGTCAGTCCACAGAGTATTTTCCCAAAAGTCTTGGGGATCATCAAGATGTTTTCTGGCAAAACTGAGACGAGCCTTTATGTTCTTTTTGCTCAGCAGTGGTTTTCGTCTTGGAACTCTGCCATGCAGGCCATTTTTGCCCAGTCTCTTTCTTATGGTGGAGTCATGAACACTGACCTTAACTGAGGCAATTGAAGCCTGCAGTTCTTTGGATGTTGTTGTGGGGTTTTTTGTGACCTCTTGGATGAGTCATCGCTGCGCTCTTGGGGTAATTTTGGTCGGCCGGCCACTCCTGGGAAGGTTAACCACTGTTCCATGTTTTCGCCATTTGTGGATAATGGCTCTCACTGTGGTTCGCTGGAGTCCCAAAGCTTTAGAAATGGCTTTATAACCTTTTCACACAGGGCCATGTAGGTTTGGATTTTTTTTTCCCTTAATAATAAAAACCTTCATTTAAAAACTGCATTTTGTGTTTACTTGTGTTATCTTTGTCTAATATTTCAATTTGTTTGATGATCTGAAACATTTCAGTGTGACAAACATGCAAAAAAATAAGAAATCAGGAAGGGGGCAAACACTTTTTCACACCACTGTACCTGACTTTTGACTAGATACCAAAAGACAACGTTGTGCTAATTCCAGAAATTTTCTTTAAAACATTTTATTTTAGAATAACAATTTATTTTGTTTAGTTAATATTATGACTATTTTTAGTTTCCTTAGTTTAGAAGTTTATCTGCTATAACACGGAGCTCTGTGACTGATCGTTGATTGACCAACACTGAAGGGCATGTGATTATTATAAACATAGCATTTGAACCTAGATATTCTGCTGATAAAGCTATTCCTGTTTTACACACAAGTGAAAAAAAGTGAGGTTGCTTGCTTCAATTCACTAATTTTCAACCTGCAGAGTGTGGTAACTGACAGTAATTGTTATTGAGAGTAATTTTAATCAGGTTACTGAATTCATTACTGTTAACTGTTCAACAGAAGAGTGTATAAGTATCAAAAACCGAAAGTAATACAACTTTTAATAACACTTTCCACTTTGTAGTGTCAAGATTTTTTTTTCTATCTGTAAAGAAAACCATTTTTTTAACTATGTTCTTTGAAGTTTTTTGAAATATGGAAATTACTTTTCAACAATGAATCCTACCAAATCCCAGGATAACTATCCATCATTTCAATAGTCCCTCAATATTAATTCAATTTGTAGAGGGATTTCCATTAAATTCTTAATTTAAACTGGCTTGAAGTGACAGAGTAAAAGCACTTGGAACTACTGTATACTAGTTTTCCATTCTTTATAGTACTTAGCTTTTACTAAAATGCCAAAAGCACTTTTTACCTTGAGTTTAAATGCTATGTAAACACATTCAGTAGTTTGAGCAAATGTAAATATAAGGAGATTTACAAAAGAAAACGTATTTTAAAATATTTTAACATCTGAAAATGTGAAACGTGAAAAAATATAACGAATACATAAACAGAATAATTCCATGTTTTTACAGACACGATGTTCATATATATTCATACTCTCCAAACATGTTAAGAATAGATCATTTCATCCTCTAATAATTTTTATTTAATACTTACACTTTCACAAAGCCTAAAACTTTATTAAAAAATCATATAAAGTCAGAAGTGTCAAAAGATCTAAGGTAAAAGATTATTTATCTTAAAAACTCTAATGGTGACTATAATAAAACTCCATTACACATTCAAGTTTTACATATGGTGACAAGTTTCAAGGCTAATGGGTTGGTTGCTACTTTTCCAGGTATAGGATGTACAGTAAAAAGGTTTTACCCAAATACTTGATTTGGGAGAAAAATGTACATCTAATGGAAACAAATGGGAATCTTCAAATAAAGTCTGGCATCACTGGGATACAATATCTCAGAGGCAGACTATGGAAATCTGGAGACTGTGGCAGAGTTTCATGGTATCATAAAAAGAAGGCAAGATTCATATAGCAAGTATTTGACTCCCAAGTCAAACGTGATCAGTTGAAACGCAAATAGAGTTGATGGATACGTGGACAGTGTGACAGGGTGCCTGTTTATTTTTCTTTCCCAAATGAATGTTAAATACTCCAACACCTTTCCAGTACCCTTTCCTGTATGTTTGTGAGTGTGTATGTGATACGTAGGAAGTGTGAATGATACTTACCCCTTTTTCCCAAAAAAACTCACTCCAGTGTTCCCTGTTGGAGTATGGTATTGTGTTGGGCAAGATTGGCTGTCGGTCACCTTTCTGTTTGTAGTTTCCCACACTGTCACATCAGCAGTTTTAAATAAAAACTGCTGATCTTAGGAAAGGTTACTGGTAGGCCATCCATAAATAACTGATGTATGTTTATATATTTTTTTTGTTTTTGTTTAAATGTAAAAAAAACCTCCCATGACTTTGTTAAAGTTTGTAAGTTATTCTGGATTTGTATTAAGTTACTTTATTAGTTTAATAACGGTCCACCTCTATAAAAGATATGAGCTAGTCCCTTTAAGGAAGGATGGTGCAGGGAAAGCAGGAGCTATATAAGGGGCTGGGAGAGCTCAGCAGAGAGATGGTGCATTGGAAGGAAGGTGGGCTGAGAGGAGCTTCTGTGAGGTTTATTTTGGTTATCGCTGTTTGAAGGCGATAAATCCAGTTTTGTTTGCATTTGAAGACTACTGTTTTGGGAGTGGTTTTTTTTTTCATGAAGGCAAACCTAGTTGCTTGGCCGGTGACAGACAGACTCACAGGGGATGACTGTCATCACGTCTGCTTTAGGGTTGGTTTGCCGTCCTAGTTAGAATTGAGGAGCATATGAATGACAAGATGTTGTAGTCTAAAGCTTGGTTGCAAACGGTAAGGGTAACAATACAAAGCATGCTGTTAACCTAAAGGACCGACCATCATAGTCTACAGAAGTTGTGTAAGTTGTCTAAATAAAAATAAATAAATAAATGTGTAGCTTTAGTTACAGTTCACAGAGGGGATGGATCGATTTGGAGGTTATGGTAAATTACATGAGCACCAGCTAGCGAGATCACCTAGCAATGTACAATAGGTAATGCAAGCAAACGCAGAGATGTTTCTTCCATCTCAAATGTGATCGGAGTCTTTAACAGTGTAACACTTGCCTAGTTCACTGTTGTCGTCCACCAGTATGATCTCGTGCAGCAGATAGGCGGGGGTGCGATCTAACACGCTGTGTACTGTCCGCAGGAGAGCAGAAAAGGCCTCGTTGAAGAAGCAGATCACAACGCTGGCAGTCGGAAGAGCCAAAGGATAAACTTTTTCTTTGCACCTGCAGGCGGTGAACACAGCGTGCAATCATAAACCCACACTACATAATTATACTGCATTAACACATTCCAGAAGGATTTTCTTTTACTCTCATCTGAAAATCACATACCTCGGTGATCAAACAGTAAGGGTGAGGGACAAGAGACAAAAAGGGTGCCAGTCTCCCGCGCACTTAGCCACCCATTCTTAACAGGAACTTTAATGCTTTAGTGTGGTTACCTGGAGCAATTACATGCAAGTACCTCAATTACAGTGAATAAAACTGGCTTCCTAGCAGCTCATAAAAGGCTCTGCTTGGAGGGCCAGGAGGGCTAGATAGACTTGAGACAGCCACCTTAAAATCAGGCTCGTCCACTCACAGGCCACCCCAAGCCAGCTCTATAGTCAAAGTACTGTTCGCACTTGATCAGTTACAGATCATCAGGTATATCTATATTTTTCAATACAAAGAGGACCTTGTGTAGGTGAATGGATACTTTCAGCTCTGTTACGTTATAGGAGCAAACCATGCCAGTCATCCCATTGCATTTTAAATTTTCCTGTTTCCCTTCAGCTTCACAGCACTCAGTTTTCCAACATACAGATCATATGTCTGTTAAATGTTCACTGTCCTGCACCACAGAAACACATGGGACAACTTTCAAAGCTTTTGACTTCAGTGCAGATTTGCTTTACTTTCCCTACCTCTAAGTAAACCCCAGCTATTTAAGCAAAGCCGTGAAAATTAGGTTTTGAGAACTGCTGAGGCAGACAAAATGACAGAATTGCATTCCCCAGAAAACTGTGGGGAATGTCGTGCCATCCTCAGTCATGTGACTTGTTACTCGACGGTGATTGGTCGGGTGATGTTTTAAAACCAGGAAGTGGAGGTGTCCTAACACAGGAGAAGGTACATGAGGAAAGAAAAGAGAAAAGGATCCCAAAAGGAAAAAGATCCTAAGAGACTGTAAGTGAATCCTGTGTTTAGCTGTAATCTAGACTCTGCTGTCCTCATAAAATATTTAACTTTTCCATATCTAATGTCATACATGAATTTACCTTAATATTTTCTGAATTACATGAAGATTTTGAAATTTTTCAAACTGCACTGAAAATTTCCATCATTCTTTGGTGTGTCAACTAAGATAAATCTCGGTACCAGTCAAAAATGAGACTGCATGTCTTCCACTCACTTAGAAACAGGCACCGTTTTTAGTAGCGCTTGACAAAATTGAAGACCCTTTTGTGTGTGCTAAATACTGTCCCATTTTACTTTTAAATGCAGATATCACAATTTTATCAGAAGCTCTTGCATAAGGACTAGAAATTATCCTTCCTACAATTTAATCAGAACATACAGGCAGAATCCATAACTGGTATTTCATTCAACACAATCTCTTGAGTTGAAGGGAATCTATTATTTAGAATAGCCATACCCCTTTCCCGTTTCCTAATTTTTTTTTTTTACCAATCCCCAGTTGACTCAAACACACAAAGCCTGTTGGAGATCACTGTTTCAGTAATTTGGTATATAACGACCACACATGATTTCTGCTTCAAAGGCACTTACTTTGCATTTCTGGTGTCAGGAAGATCCCTGTGGAATCCTAGGCGGTTACTGATGAGCACATTGAAAGCATGCTTGTGGTAACCTGTGTCTCGAATTTCCTGATCCTGTTCATTAAAAATCATACCTGAGGAAACAATAACATTTTATTTAGCCACTGTAGTTATAAGTTGGAAAAAGGACTCTATATTGCTTACTTGCAAAAATGGTTCAAAGAGACCTAAAAACTGTAGTTAAAATGAAGCCATACTATCTTTCTGTCTATAACTAAGGCTGGAGCCTCTCTGTTATTATGACTACATTGTGACAAAGTGGATTAGGAGAAAGCTCAAGATGGCAGAGCAACATAACTGGTATTTTATGCTCACAGGTACAGAATCAGCTGCTCTGGCCTTAAACACAGAATATGAAGATTAACAGTGACGCACCACAGCGGCAACTTGCTTTCAATTTTTGGGATCCCTTTAAAAGCCTCAACATAACTTATAATGTTATAATGTTATATATCTGTTGATGTATAGTATACCTTCTTTAATACAGCCAGCATCATATAGCCAGCAGCACTGCGGCACATGAAAGGTTAATAATTCACCAAAGCAAACAGACAAGTTTTCATGTAAGCGGGGTGGGGGGTAGTGTCCCGGAGGGCCACTGTGTATCTATGTTATCCTTCCAACTCAGCTCTTAACAAACTTCATCAGTCGTTCACGGGCATCGCTGGACCAGTTTGGCAGCTCTTCCCAGCTCTCCAGCCACTGGTGCTTTTAAGAAACGCGTCGACCCACCAAGAGCAGGACAAGAGACCCTGCTAGTAAGATGCTCCGGCCCTCCAGGACCAGGATGAGAGGTCCGTCTGTAAACGGTCCTGTCTTACCCATTTCCGGCGAGAGGTCAGCTCCCCTGCGGCCCTCGGCGCCTCTGCGCAGCTGCTCCTTGGCCCAAGCGTTCTGCTGGCTCTGCCGGCCGGGTCCCCGGGTGAACCGGGGCTGGAACTTCCTGGGGAAGTTCCTGAAGGACAGGTCCCCCTTGACGGGCACATTTTTGAAGGGCTGGCTTTCCTGGGTAAAGTTGAAGTAGATGAAGAGCAGAAGTGTCCAGGTCACTGACGTGCAGAGACACCCATAGCAGAAGTACCGCAGTGTGACGCTGCCCATGGTAGCCCTAGCATCGTTGGCGGTCCATTCTCAGTCCCCTGCGTAAACAAATGTAACCGGGATGCATAAAAAATTAAAAATCGAGTACAGGGAATATGGGTATCAAGGTGCTGAAAATCACACATAAGATCACGAGAGAGGCCACAAAACAGAGCAGGCCACTTGGCCCATCTAGTCATTTTCGTAGTTAGCATTTAACCGATCCAAGGATCTAATTCAGTCGTCTCTTGAAAGAAACCAGAATATTAACCTCAACAATATGGCTGCATAGCTCGTTCCACATTCCCACAACCCTTTTGTTAAACACCTGCCCCCTGTTCTTGGTTTTGAATTCACTTCCACACAGTTTCGACTTGTACCCTGTGGTTCCCGTTTCACAGACATATCATGCAAGACAGGAAGTGACATCATTCAAGGATGCTCGTTTTTACCGTGAAAGAAAATTGACAAGCAGCGAATAGATCTGCTAGCAAAAGATTTGCTCTTACTCTCAAATACTGCTTTTCTTCTTTGGAAAACTCGCCTGACTTGACATTTGTTCTTTCAGAGTACGTTTCATAGCGCAACAGCAGGTAATTGCTATTGAAATCCAGATCTGGAACTTATCATAGATGACAGACAGCAAGCCGACTTAACTGGGGCTGGCATGCACTCTTGTGCTTGTGCTTAGCTGTCAGGGCAGTCTTACTCAGGGGAACTGCAACACACTATATAAACTGCCAAGGCTCTGCACTTAGCAGATGTGCTCATTTTCACACCATGACAATATACATTGCTTATCAAACCCATTATAAGGGCAAAAAGAGAATTATTCAGGTTGCAAGCTGACTTCTCGCACGCCTTTTTAAGGTTGAAGGATTTGACAATTGCAATTTATTTTCACACTTTTTACAAGGATTTTACAGCTGTACAATGTATAACGTGCATACAAACAACAACCGACAGAGCTGAACAGAATGCTGCTTTTGCTTTTTTTTTCTTTTATGACACAAGAACACAAAAACAGATTCTCTGGAGGCTTAAAAACAGTAAATAACCCGTCCACAGTAGATCGACAAGGAAGGATTGTTCCTTTCCAACCCTACTACCACCATCACCTCCAGAAGGTCATATGAGGCAGATTCTGAGTCTCTCTTCTCAACCTAATTCCCAGATTAAGGCACAGGGCAACACTAATCACAGTGACAATAGAGCACTTCAACAGTGAACAAAGGGAATGCACTTCAGTGTAATGAACCACGGAGTCTCATTTAGTATAGTTTAGACTGCCTCTTTTAGTGTTAGACATTAAGCTACCCTGTCCCAATTTCTAATACTAACTCCACAACCACTTTGTTTTCTTACACCACTCCACTTTTTACATTCTAAACTGATTTTTTTTAGCTTTTTCACTGTAAATGGAGCACACTTTTTTAAAGGAATATCAGTGATTATGGATTTAGTCATCACTCACCTTCTCAATTTTGTTTTAAAACAACTCGTGCTCTGAATTGGCTGCGATGCAGTTCTCTCACTCTGCGGTGTCCTTCACAATCATAAGTCTCAAGATAGTTTCACATTTCTTGATTTTACGGCGATAAGAAAATTGAAGCACAAGAAAAGCAGTATGCTAGTTAATTTCAGCTGTGTTTCAGCAGTAAATTACTAAAGCAGAAAATGTGGAGCAGTGGAAAGAAGAGGCTTATGTGGTTAAAGCTTAAGTCGAGACACAGATCTTGCTTTCAAATCCAATTTTCCAGCACTGACATTCAGTCCAGTAATATATTAGCCAACCGTGCAGCTGTCCCCAAAGCAAGAGACCTATAGTCTTTTTATGTAGCTATACTGTAGGAAAGAAATCCCAAAACAGCGATATTAACAATGCAACACTTACTATATCAACAAGTCTTTATTAATAGCTGGGCGTAAAATTGAAACCTTCAATATCCCTAAGATTCACCCTTAACAGGAAAGCATTCACAAAATGTACTGTCATGTACATTTATTTTTACTTTAGAGATGAAAACATTATTCTTAAATACCTTAAAGTATTCCGATAACATTTCAAACCGTTCTCCTGAGCAGTTGCTCCTCGGCAGGAGTTCCAAAAGAAAACAACACTGTGATATTATCCATTTTTTCTTGAAACTTTAACAGTAAGACCCCACTTACCACACTATCTAGATGTTTGGAAGCATTTGAGAAAAGATAGCAAAAAAAAGTTTAAAAATGTCTGAAAACATTTAAAAATTAGTTTATTATGTTCGTGTGACTGGTTTTTCAGATTTCTGATGATAAAATCTTTATGTGCAGGTCACGCTAAGTGTTAAGGGACAAAGGCCTCTCTGAAGGATCACAAGAAAAATGGGTGAAATATTAACAGAATAAAGACTAAAAATTTACAGAGTTTTCTGAGAAAAAGCTTAGTTAAGTACTCCTGCTTTAGGCTGAACACCATTATTGAGAGGAAAATGTAATAGAAAGCTGCTGGGAAAAACTAGGAAATATTTTCTGGCATTCTGCTAGTGAATGTGCTGCCTTTCATCATTCTTTTGTAGCTTCTAAACTTCGGTCTATTTACACAGCTAACTTTTTGTTTGGTTCACACTCCATCTATGTAATTATTCAACCAAAGAAATAGGAAAGCAACATGGAAAATGTTACTAATACTTCCAAGTTCCAAGTTTCTGTTCAAACCTGCAATGGACAACAAAATGTTTCAAACTAATTTAATAGATCACGCAGTACATAATACATAACAACTGACATGACAATCATTTACATTGCATAATGTTGCAGGGCATCATTTTGATTTTCTTACTGTAACTCCTTAGTAGTTTAACTGCCAAACAAAAATCAGAATCTGCTAAAATTATACAGTATACTGAACATCGAAAGAGACTTTTCATTTATTTACGTACATCTCTTTTTAGAAAAAGAAATTATTAGATTCATTAATATACAAAAATATTTTGGGGTGTCATTTTGATTAATTGATCATTCATGCTTGACCGTGATGCAGATAAGTGCCTAATCACTAAATCACCTCATTAGGGAGAGAGTTGATTGGGAAGAGGTGATAATGTGACCTTTTGAACCTCACTGGGAAGATCCAGAAAGAAAAGCACAGACAGGAACTATTTGTCAAGAAAGGAATGCCTTTTGGGCCATCTTTATGTTGGAGGCTAGATTAACTCAGCACACTGTTGGTCACCATCTGGGGTTTTAACAGCCAGCAATTTTTAACCTGGCAAGACATTAAAGTCAAACATAGTCCATGAACTGGGAGACCACAAGACCAATTAATCTGCATTTTATTTCTTATGTCTTGTGCCATATCTGCACTATAGTTTACTGTGAGCTGCGATTTATAACTGACTGCGAATTAACACGTAACCATCCCTGTAATCTGAGCACATTTGAAGGATTTCAACTAAGCCTAAAGAAGGAATGAAAACCATTCCTATACCAAATTATTACCTTATTACCCAATTATAAAGTTAACAATCAACTCAATCCTGCTACAATCATCAATTGGGCACAACAGTGAATCAAAGTGCTGAATCAGTAAGCAAATGTGCCACACTGTCTTGTACTGGATATACCCTAAATGGGAGATCATTTTAAGACATTCTGCACTGCTCTTGGTTTAATCTGTATGCACTCAGCTGCAGCCTGTTTTTTTTATTCCAAGTAATAAGAATTGTTTCACAACTGTAACTGACTTCTTCTCTTTCTGTTTTAAAAGAAAAGTTCTGCCAAGATCTTAAAGAACCCAGATTTTGCAGGTCTATGCTTCTGCAAGCGAACAGCTGTAAAAACTACCCCATCGGCCAGCAATGGGCAAATGCTGTAGGAGTAAAATGACTGGAGTAACAGTTAAAAGTGCAGTGCCAGACAACAGATTTAGGCGCTTGCAGAAGGAGTATAATCAATTTGTCTCAGGTGTTCCATGGCATATGTGCTACTCTGAACCTGTTACCACTGCAGGCAGTTTCAGCAACAGCCATTAGCATTCAAAACTCACGCTTCTAAATTTGACTGTAAAAAATATATTATTCAAATCAATAAAAATACAGGCTAATACTACACCGGTCCTAAAAATATGTTCACAGAAATAGTTTAGCAATGCTCTATTAACAAGCCAATGTATTCTGCAACCAAACAATTTCTCTTTCTTGATTTTAGAACAGATTCCTTATGTCAAAAAAAACAACAAAACAACTAAACATAAATGGTTTTCAGTGAAGTACATATTCACTAGAGTTGTAAGCTTTTGTCATGACAAGATGTGAACGGCACCCAGGTACTGGGAATCTTCAATTTCCCGCTATAAGACTGAAAAAGTTTGTGATCTTGTGGCCAATATGCAAGTGCTGCATTTATAGCTTATTAAACATCATTACTGACAGGGATGACAGAGCCCAAGGCGGATGCATCTACATCTAGGTGCTAAGATGTTTATTGTCTTTAAGACTGGTTTATGGCTGTACACCAACCGCAATAAGACATAAAAACTGTGCAGCACAGCAATTTTAAATACTTCGATCTCTAGCTAGTTTATTGCTTTTGTAGAAAGATTTACAGACTTCAGCTGCCTTTATAAATAAAAGCAGTTTATGACGTCATAAAATTCACAGCATATTTATGTAATCCATTACAACGCTGACACTGAACACAACTTTGCCTGACATTAGTGTTAGTCACTATCACCTGTATTTTCACCAAACAACAAAATTCTTAGAATTTAATCTGTTACAGTTCTTGGATTATAGAACACATTTTATCATTCTTTTCCTCAGATTCTTTTCTACTCTTAAGAGTGTCAAATGTCTGAAATGTTCAAATTTGATACTGTCTGAAAAAGACAACTGTATTTGCAAAGTATAGTTTATTATAGCGTATATTTTTTTCCCGATCCATTACTGAATCTACAATAAAAAAGAAAATTGTACTCATCTTGAAATTAGAATATGGCAATATTTTAGAATGCCAAGTTAGGCAGCAGTTAAAGCAGCTGAAATCTCTCCTCATTTTAGAAGAAAGCAGCCTAATCTCAGAGCACAATGACAATGGGATGATGATGTTGTCATAAAGTGTCCTAATTTCATTACACAGGCTGATAATGATCAGCATAAAGTTAGGAAGACAAAGCAGTACTCAATATGAAAATATCCATCTGCAAAGAATCCACCCTCACTATACTGTACATTTGGACAGTCTGCTGTCAAGAGACTGGAAGGGCAAATTAATCACCTAAGTGCTCTCATTTATAAGACACTTTCCAGGAGGCATATGGAAAGAAACAGATTATATATATATATTTAGATTTTTCAAAACAAAGCTTCAAACACACAGAGTCACACACACTATACAAACATAAGATAAGTACTGTATGTTAACAAGGAAACTGAAACATAAGTAATGAGCTTTTTGTGGTAGTCACAAGACCTCTAAAACAAATATTAAACTAGAAGAGGTTTGGGGAAAAGGGGACCTAATTCTGGGGAAAACAAAAATATTACACACAAACACAGAAGTATTCACACAACAGGCCCTAGTTATCCCTTTAATTGAATTCACTGAACTAATAGTGCATGAACTTTTTCACACAGGGACATGTTGGATGACTTGGTTTATGAAATAAATTAAACAAGTACCAGACTTTGGTGTTATTTATTCACTCATACTCCCTTCATCACTGTCACTAGGACCCACATTCAGTGGCGAAGATTTGCAAAATTCAGAATGGCAAATGTTCTTTCACAGAAATTTGCTAAACTCAGGGCAAATGTTTTTTTCACAGAACTCGATGTTTGTGCAACACTTCTCTCGCCAAGGCGTTCCTCGGGCAAGGCAAGTAGAGGCAACCTCCTTTCATAGTTTGATTTTGCTGAAATCTGAACACCAAAGACACCGCAGAACCACTTATTAGGAGACAGCCCCGAAAAGAAACAAGATTCTCATTGCAAACGTTAAGCCTTACAGGTTTCACCAGCTTCGGTCTCTTACGCCCTCTTCTACGCCCAATACGCTCTCTTCTACAAACACTTATAAAGCACAACAGCAAATGCACAGTTTCAATTACATTTCTGAACACCACATCTATGCAGATTCGTGCAAAATAACGTGGCAGGCATGAAATATCCAGCACCTGCTGTTGCCCCATACCAAAAAGGCTGTTGAATGTGTAACTGGTAACTTTGCTGACACTTATTTTCCCCACAATGGGACAAGAGGAGTGAATCTGGACTCGGTTCATGCTTCACATTGTAAGGACAAAACTGTAACAGACGTTTAAAATCAGATTCTTTATCACTGAGATGTAAAGTGGGCAGAAAGCAACCCCACATTTCTTCGTATACATGTAGTAAGAGGCGTTCTCATTTCATAGAAAGTTATGAATCATTTTTAACAGTATGAAATAAACTCTGCACCTCAGATTGTTTTAGCACAGTTGTTTTAAACCTGGGGTTCACAGGGACTGTGCAGGCCGCCCTGGAACACATATTTTCACCATGCAAACGAACACTCCTGCTCTGCAGTCAGTTTTGATTCGTGAATGAATATGCTCTGAAAAATCACCTGTTCTTTTAATCACAAAAAATTTACAGTTTTTGTTCGCTTTTAGTTTTAGCTTGAGAGAGGAACGAAAGATTTTTCTAAAGAGGAACAAAAAAAAACAGGCCATCATAGTGATCTTAGTTTTACACACGCAAGAGAGCTTGGAATTAACTTCACAAGAATAAAGATACAATGTGATCAAAATTCACCTTCGCTCTCTCTTACAGGTTGTTGAAATCCCAAATATACAGTACACAGTACGATTTTTCATAGCCGTATTATTTTTTCGGTCTGTATGCATATTTTGGAATAACATATGTTTAAATTTTAGAAATCAATAAACTTGAAATAGACATTTCTACCCTGTGTAACGACTGTTCTTTGAGCAGGTGCTGCACAAATACTTTGGCTAAACGTTAGTGCATCTGTATAGATCTGGCATTTCATACGAGTCTGACAAATTTAGGTCAGTTGCCTGATTACGAAAGATCAGCTTAACGTAGAATCAGAGTTTAACCTAGAAAAACATCTACCCATCAAACTTAACATTTCAATATCTCCATTCCAAGGATATAAATAATGCAGTCCAAAGTTTTGGTCTTCAAACCCAATACGCTCTCTTCGTCGCTGAAGAAACGTGAGTTTGAGAAATACAGTATCTGCATCGATCAAAGTGTGAAATAAGATCCCGAATTTTACTTGCGCAGAATTTACAGATTAATTTTGGGTTGCCTGGATGTAAAATGATCTGAAAACAAGTACAGTATACATCCATGAATGAAATAACATGTACCGATAACACTCACCTAATGAAAGAAAATAGGAATAGGATAAAAAAAATACATACATAATACAAGCTTCTTAAATTGCAATTGCCGTTCAACAAATACCTATCTTGTTTCAAGACAGAAGAAACAGGCATTTTATGAAATGCAAGCTAATATATACTGTATGCAAGCGAAGGGAACCGAGCAATAGCAAAACAAGTTTGCAACTAAGCTCGTAACTTACGCACTTTCATGTCACTTACTCGTTGATGAGCATTTCCAGACTACACGACTTAGATCTGTTTACCGAACTGACATAAAATACATCTGACACCTCTGTTTGCTAAGCAATCCCTTACTGTACGGGTTCAGACAGAGCACAGCACACAAACCTCGTGACCGAATCCTACAGCAAATCCAAATCACTCACTGTGCTTACATCTCTCAACCCCGGGTATACTAACAGTTGGACTTGGAAACCATCGTCCAATCAAATGCCAGTATCAGACGCATCCCTCTAATCACAGAGCAGAAGGTCCCAGAGCTAAATCGCCTGGCCAATCGCACCCTCACTCCTGGGAAAAAAAAAGTGAAGAAAGTTATTTTGTGACATAGCGACACCAAGCCTTATCACTGCAGTGTTACAGCACTTACGAAAAATCAAACTTGGTGAGCTGAGAAATCTTTCAATCTAAATTAAAATCTACAGTTGTAAAAAATAGTAAAAAATAACGTCGATAAATATTCGTATACACATCCTTTTATACTATTAGTAGATACAGCTTAGGTTGCTTATATTGTTCTTATATGTTTATTATCTAAATTTTAATTACTTCTCTCGCAAAACAAGAATTTATATCACTACAGGTATGAGTCTGGTGGGTTTTGAGCTTTCTTGTCTCATACTTTTCTAAGTGAAACTTCAGATAGGAAATAATACTGAGCCACTTTATTTCTTGTGGTAATTAACAATTGAACAATATCCAGTTACTTATCATTTGAATTATATGCTTGCACATAATTTAATACAGTATTTCCGTTAATTAAAAAATGTGTGATACTAAGACACTAAGTGACTGAAACCATTTCGTTTTCCTTCAGAAGCTATCTGCAAAACCTTGCTTTCTAGTTTTCAGTTGCTTCAAGGGAATGACTTGGACAGGATATGCCACAGACAGTAGTGTTTTACATGTCATATTATTTTTAGTACATCATGTAAAAATAAACAATAATGCACAAAGTAAATACAAAGAAACCATTTCAAAGCAGTAGAAATAAGTTAATAAAAATATAGAAAAAATAGGTAGATACTGTACATGTAACATGATAGAAGTGTGCATAGCAGAGTAAAACTACTGCACCACAATTGCCTTTTGCCTGTGGAAATGTGAGTTTACAATGATTAGAAAGTACCTGCTGTAGCTGAAGTAGTTCTAAGGGGACGTTTGTCACTATTCATTTCTGAACAAACAGCTGTAGTGCAGAGGTCCTTTATTTTCTCACTGTGTGTGAAGCGAAAGAGCACTGCGAGCCTTAGTCTGCCTTCACATTCCCAGAGAACTCAGTGCAAATTACATCACAATACAGTATGCTGAGGTTTTTACTGGACAATTCATGAATTCAGAGAGTGACAGAGTGAGAAAACCAGGGTTCATAAACATGCATACTTTGGTTACCATACTTTGGTTACCACTTGTATGTGTATAGAGTATAATATGCAAAGGAACAAGTAATAGGTTTGTTCCATGCTGAAAAGAGAAGAAAGAAAACAGAACGTTTCGGCCTTCTTCTCTTTTCAGCATGGAATAGGCCTTTACTTGTTCCTTTGCAGCCTATGCATGCTGAAGCAGCTCCCCACCTGAACTAGAGTATAATATCATTTCTGATCGTGATTCCTTTAAACAGCAATTTTACATATTATGAATGTATAGCGTAAGCATTATTTTGTTCTTTGTATCTGATGAAATGTACATTTTCTTATGTTAAAATGATAAATCAACAATCGATAATTATAATGCATATAATCAACAATTGGTTATATTTTAGGAATTACATGATATTTATATAAGACGCAAAATTAGTTCCCTCCTGATGCAAGAGTTCTTTTTCTTTACATGATCAGTACAAGGCTCAAACTACAGAACCAAAACACTTGACCACTTTGACCTTTAATAGCTCCCACTTAAGTTAAGCTGATTAATGAACTGTGGCTATTAATAATCTGGTAAAAGAGATAACATATGTACATTCTCAAGAAGATGTTGAATTAGTCCTGAATTTGCTCTTGTTTCGAGTGAAAATGATCTAATACTGTCTGTAAATTGCTGTGTTAAACAAAAGACTTTTGGAAGTTTGAAAGTGTATTGCATTAATATGATATTAACATGATTTCTTATCTAAAAAGATACCTTTCTCAGGACTGATGGGACTACTAAAATTATTGTTACTGTAGGTTTAGCAGTGGCTGTTCTACAGTAGCGAGCAGGACAGAATTATTCTTAGGCGATGGCTAATTAAATATATGCTTATACTGTACAGTATTTGTGAAAAAACACTTTTAGGGGTAAACACAGAAACATCAGTCACATGCATGTCTTAAGCAAATAGACTGATTAACAGGGACAGAGGTTTCTAAAACTGAAGTCATTTTGACCTAAAAATGACCACGCAGAAGATAAAACCATTAATAAATAAACAGACAGTGGGTTTACTTTTCTGACATCTGAGCTGGAATTAAAAAAAAAATCTGAGGCTGCTCAAAGGCAATTTATGAGATACTAGATACTGTATGGTACAAGAATCCATATATTCGGGGGGAAAATTCCTAAGAAATTATTGACTTTTCAAGCTTTTATCTAATTTTCTGTCACATGTATATAGCTTTCTCTGTGAGAAAAACTTATCTCAACATCCTGGTAAAAGCAGATACTATTACATTTACTATAACACCACTGTGTGGAACCTCTTTTCACACTAGAAAACTGAATAATTTGCAATTATGGCAAATTGTAATATGCAATACAATTCAATTAATATTTATTTTAAAATATAAGAATTAATGTCCATAACAGAAATTAACAGAAATTTAGTGTCCATTATACTTTGGTGTGGTGGTAGTCGGGGTTGTCCCTGGTTGTTGTATTATTGTAAGAGTACAATTATTTTATGCCAATCTAAAATACTACTACAGTACATGGCCTCTTTAATCATGTGATTTCTACATTTCCTAAGGCACAGTGTGAGGACAAAGCATTGAGGAGGTTTGCACAAACATAAAAAATATACTAAAAAGTACTGTATGTACATAATTGAATTAACACATTGGCTTCAATTTTAATTTGATTTAAATTTGTTACAACTTACTTTCAAAAACTCTGAGTCTAGGCCTTCTACAGTTCAAAACTACCCTTACTTACAGTACCTCCTCAGACAGAGACAGTATAGCCTCACTACAAATCAACAGAGACGCAGCTGTTCAGTCAGGTCATGCTTGTTTCTATACAATAAATGACCCTCCTGTATAATCTGCTCTCTTAAACCAATGCAAAATTATGAGAAATGCTTTTCTAACTAGATAGATCATAAAATATACCTGGTTCATGCTCAGGGGAAATAAATCTCCCCACAAACATAAAATGGATAGTCTTTTTCCCTTTGCTTCCGAAGAGGTTCAATATTTGTATTCGGTGCTTCTGAACTTGGCCATTCCAATGCTACTGTATCTGCGTCAGTGACAGAATTCTTGTTGGTGAAAAGTCACAGAGAATTCACTAAATCACCCCAGATCCTGACTCGGGCCTTGCTAACTGCATAACTCTCTGGACATAGTGGAGCCACTCAGCTTCTGGTCTGAGTAAGCCATCTGTGACCATTCATCTTCTGATGTTCTGCGTTAGCTAAACGGTACAGAATATCAAATGACTGTTATAATCTTTATTGGTATAACAAATGGACCTCTCCAACACACAACAATACTTGCCATTCCTTTGCTATACAGTATATCGCAGGATTGAGGATGATAAATAAAACTGTCTACCGCATTCCTGAATTGTGGAGAATATACAAAACCATGTCTATTACATTCCACATCAGCCAATCTTGTGGACATCAATTTGGGAAGCACAGGTCCCAAAGGAAATGACATGTGTACTGGTGTACACTGTAAGAGGAGGTGTTCAATACAGCAAATACTGTGCTTGGCTTGCCTTGTCAGAAATTATTCTTTGACATTTTACTGTAGTTTTCTATACGTAATGCCTTTTAGTAGATTTTGAGACTAATTAAAAAATGTAGGCAAATCTCAATGTATTTTGGGTAATTATCTCAAATAAGACTTTTTTAATAAAGGTAATGGTGATATACTGAAAAGAAATTTATTCAGATGTTTATAAAATAGATATTGCCTAAATTACTTTAAAAACTGCTGATCCTTGGCTATTTGGATCACATTAATGAAAAGAAAAGAGAGCTCAGAGAGGGGGTGGATGCTCAAATAGAGCAATGTAATTAGAGGAGTGTAACAGAAATATGTATTAGCATCACTGGTCTTTTAAATGTATTTATTATTATTATGTAAAACAGAACTTAAAGTTAAAAACACTGAGCCTGAATAATATTTGGGAACCACTATCCATGAAAATGTTTTTGGTATTCATTTTGGTGTCATTTTGTAACATATAAACAAAATGTAAAAGCAACTTCACAGAGGAAGCAAACTAGATAGTAGATGCAAAAAATGTACAATTTAAGGCAAAACATATTTTCATAAAATCATACAATGCATTTTTAAGACCTTATTTAGAATTTGGTGTACAGATTTAGTTACCGTGTTGCAGAAATGCATAGCTGCTCGGGAATTGATCGAATGATCAGGGAAACTCAAAACAGATGATAAAAGTGAAAACAAGGGAAAATGTATTTAAAACTGGATGGATGTTTTTACATGGGGAATATCTATATTTATAAAAGTTGATCAAGGAGAAATATCAGATATGTAGATAAAACGTTGGAGAAGTACAAATGAAACAACAAGGCTATGTTTGAGAAATCTGATCTCCTGGATCTTCAAGAAGTGGATTAATGAGTCTCTTGAATTCGTTTTGCATTGATGTCTTTGACGAAGGAGTTGTCAATATCAGAAAAGTCAAAAAAATCTGACAGCACACAAATTTTCAGTTGTCACAATTTTCACTTTGTAATCCATGCCTTATAATGACAATTCTGCTCTCTATTAATATCGATGTGAATTGGAAAATTTGGACATGGAAAGAAAAATAAATGCAAATATACAGAGTTATTTCACATTACATACAGTTGTGAGAAAACGTTTGTGATCTGATCTTCATCTACAGT